AATACAATATAACATCAACTCAAAAAAAAAAAAATTTTTTTCCAGGGGGGGGGGGTAGATAACGCTTTTATGACTACTTTAAAAGTGAACGACATTGTTACTTGTATGCAAGTGGACACTGGATCCAAATACACTATTATACCTCATGGTCTGGCTAAAAATCTTGGTATTAGAGATCTTAAGAAATCCGAGCTACAACTCACTGCTTATGATGGGAATTTAATCAAAATCATAGGAACTACTCAAGTTAAAGTGACTTATGATGGTATTTCCAAATATTTACAAGCGGTAGTGGTTGAATCAAGTAAAAATGCCTTGTTGGGACGTACGTGGATCAATGCTTTCAAAAATATTTTAAATAAATTTATAGCAAATATTGACACTAATTATGAAGATGAAATAAAAAAATTGATTAAAGAGTGTGAATCGAAATTAACTAATGGGCCAATCAACAAAGCAAGTGTCAAGTTACATTTAAGAAATGATGCCCAACCTAAAATTATACCGCCTAGACGTATCCCTTATTCAAAAATTGATCTTGTTAGTAATGAACTCAAAAAATGGATACATGATAAAATTATTGAGCCGGTGAATGATGTCCGATGGGCAAGTCCTGTTACCGCTGTCTACAAAGAAGATGGGAGCATTAGGCTTTGCGCTGATTTTAAGGATACTGTAAACCCAGCTCTAGAAGACTTTAGATACCCTCTACCACGAATTAATGATCTAATTGCTAAACTTTCGGAAGGAAAGAAATTTACGAAGATTGACTTTAAAAATGCTTTCTTACAGATTCCAATTGATAAAAGTTGCAGAAATATTTTAACCATATCTACGCATAAGGGATATTACCAATTTACTAGACTTCCTTTTGGGCTTAAGACCTCATTTGCAATTTTTCAACAGAATGGATCAAATCTTCGGTGAAATGGATGACGTTATATTTTATATTGATGATTTACTTATAACTGGAAAAAACGATGAAGCCCACCTAAACAACACAAAAAAAGTGTTTGATAGAATATCATCGTTTGGGCTAATACCTAACTTTAATAAAAGTGTGTTCTTTAAAAACAAAGTGAGGTTCCTGGGTCATGATATTGACGCTAAGGGGATTCATGCTAATCACGACAAAATTGAAGCAATAATTAATATGCCAGAACCAAAATCAGCTGCTGAATTATCAACATTTCTGGGAATGGCTGGCTACTATAGAAAATTTTTGAACAATTTTGCGGAAATTGCCGATCCTCTTTATAAGATTGTCAACAAAGAAAAATGGGCTTGGAACCTAGAACACTCTAAAAGTTTTAATGATCTAAAGAAGTTAATTAGTCTTCCACCTGCTTTGACATATTTTAACCCTGAATTACCTATAGGGATAGCCACTGACGCATCAAAATGTGGTTTAGGAGCTGTACTATTTCATATTGAAAAAGATGGTAAAGAAAAACCTATAGCTTTCGCGTCGAGAACTTCATTAAAGTCTGAAATGAACTATACCAATATTGAGCGGGAGGCTCTCGCTATAATGTTTGCTATAAAGAGATTTCAGGAATATTTAATCGGCACAAAATTTACAATTATTACTGACCATAAGCCTCTAGTTCACATCTTCACCAAGGGTCTTAAGGATAATAGCACCATGTTGTTGAGACTCCAGAAGTGGAATATTACATTAGGGGGATATGATTTTAATATAAAGTATAAAGCCGGTAAATATAATGTTGTTCCTGATTGCCTTTCGAGATTACCACAAGAATGTCGTGATGAAACTATTGAAAATGTAACCATTATAAATGAATATGAGGACTTACCTATTAACTTTGATCAAATTCGTGATGAAACTTTGAAAGATATGGAATTAAAACAAGTCATAAATGATATTAATAACAACAGACCTATAATGAATAATATTTATAAAAACATTGAATTGGAATTAAGTATAATTAAGGATTGTCTTTACAAAAGCAATAAAATCATAATTCCGTCTTCTATGAGAAAAACTATACTACAGTCATTACATGAAGGTCACTTGGGAGCAGGAAAAATCAAATCCTTAGCCAAAGATTACATGTGGTGGCCTGGTATAAATAATGATATCGTTATGGAAGTGAAAAGTTGTGACGATTTTAATATATATCACGATAATCCTATAAAGATACAAAAACCATGGGTTTCGGCAACCAAACCGTTTGAAAGGATACATATAGATTATGCGGGTCCGTTTTTCACAAAAAATTGGTTGATAATAGTCGATGCCTACAGCAAATTTCCAATTATTATTCCTGTTAAAAATATTACGACTGATGTTACTTTAAAAGAAATCTTTAAAACTATTTCGCTATATGGAATACCTGAAACTATAGTTACTGATAACGGCACTAACTTTACGCAGTAACGATTTTGAAAAATTTTGCAACAACTTTGGTATTAAACATGTGCTTACATCTGCTTATCACCAGCAATCCAATGGCCAGGTTGAACGCATGGTTAGAACGTTCAAAACACATATGAAAAGGAATATTAAAATAGACCCAGATATCGCACTTAGCAAATTTTTATTTAATTACAGAAATACGCGTAATGATACTACGGGAGTTACACCATCACAGAGAATGTTTAATCGAGATATTAGAATTAAATGGGACTTATTAAAACCGATGGATGAGAAGGAGAATAAAATAAACGTTACTTTACCACGAAATAGAACTTTTAATGTAGGAGATTTTGTTTGGTATAAAGTACAAGGTGATGATAAATGGTGCAAAGGTATAATCACACATAAAGAAAGTGATATGATGTTCCAAATTAAGACTGAGAAAGGTATTTTGAGGAGACATTTAGATCAAATAAGAATTAGAAACTGTTTTAAAACAATTATTAACTATGACTCTAAGGATTCTTTTAAGGAGGGAAGTATGGACAAAAATATAAAAATTACTGATAATAAAGATATAACACCTATCTCTAGACCTGTGCGAATTAAAAAAAACCTGCTTATTTAAAAGACTATGTAACTTAAAATATAAAATAAATATTAAATTGTATAAAGTAAATTAAATATTAAAACGCAAGAAATTAAAACGCTAAAAATATAACAATCTTATTGATTTATCATTCTTCATTTATTCTTATGATAAACTATTATTTCTTATTCGCAACTTATTTATGATAATAACAATTTCGGAAAAATGATAATAACAATTGAGCACTATCAAACAAGCTATGATTAATGGAGACAATTTACGATATGGATATCAAGCTTGTGATTAAACAAACCAACGTGCAAAATCGAATTGATCAAACCAACGATTGGGACAAGCCAACGTTATGATGATTTGTGATACAACTTGATTACCAAAACGATAAACCACTTGGACAACAAACTCTCTATGACTTCTCCGATGAAATTATCAGAAGAAGGAGAATGTTGCATTATTCTAATTTTATTATTTATTACAATATAAATTTTATTTTTTGTTATAATCTAATTTTTATTATTTGATTTTTATTATGTGTTATAATCTAATTTTATTTTATAAACGGCGTATACTTTTTTGTATTTCGTTTATATTCTAATTTGGACATAAAAAATGTATATAATAGAAGTGTGAAATGGAAAAAATAAAAATATATTTTTTATTTACCTGCACCATTTACATGTTACTCTACCATATCTACGCATAAGGGATATTACCAATTTACTAGACTTCCTTTTGGGCTCAATAGGAAAATAATTCTTCATTTTTACAAGTAGTTATAGGAAATGTCTATACTGTAGAGTATTTTTAAAATTTTATTATTATTTTTTAGATTTTATGTATATTGAAACCAATAATATAAGTTAAAATATTTTAATGTGACAAAAAAATTGATGAAAGGCTCTGAAAGAGCAAAAAATACAAATAATTATAGTAAATTTTATCAAAAGTAACTAGTTATAGTGATTTTATTGCAAAATTATATTTCAGATCTAACTAGTTATACACAGGGATCCGAACTTTTATTAATATGGTTCAGTTTGGTTACGGTTTTTAAGAAAAAATTTATAAAGGTTCCTGTCAGCTTATTGTAAAGATTTATAGGTTCATTGCGGTTATTTTTAAAAGGTTTAAATTTGTATATATTATAAGTAATCAAATGAGATTGGTTGTTAGTCTACTTACTATACAATTACTATACCAGGGTGTGGTATTATAAATACTTTAAATATAAAAAAAAACACTATTATGAATGTTTGAGCATGGCAATTAACATTATAAAAATTAAAATATCTATTATTATACTCTGCTAACAACATTTCGATTCTTTAATAATTGCTATTTACTGATTTTCATTCTATTTAGATTTAAACAAAAATAATAACATACGGACACAATAAAAAAAATGACTCTACGGTTATTTAGCCTTTATAAAAACCCCAAGCTAGTACACATTTAAAACAAACCAAAATAGGGGGTCCTAGTTCATATTCTGAATAGACTAGTCTAAAAAGAAATAAGTTGTAAAGAAGAATCAGGACAGAGTCTGAGCGTTTCCTTAATATTTTGAGCAATTAATTTTTAAATCTGAGCGTTTTAGATATATATTTGAGGAATTATTATTTTATCTTAGCATTTCAGTTTATTTTAGCATTAAGAAATAATTCTAAACATTAAGTATTAATTCTCTTTGATTTTTAAAAAATTTTGCCATGAAATAAATATAATATACTATATTAGTTTTTCTATAAATTATAAATGACTCTAAAAGATAAGGGCAAACTTATCTGGAATTTATAGGGTGAGTATAGATTCTAAAAAATGTTGGAATACATTCAGACAAAATCAGATTATTAAATCTTAAAATACGAGCTTAAAATAATTTAAAGTTAGAATACATTCAGGCAAAATCAGAATATTAAATCTTAAAATAATTTAAAGTTGAAAAAAATTACACATTGACGGGAAAAAAACACAATGATTATTAAAAATCAATTGTCAGGTATAAAAGAAAACCTCCTCTTTGGCTATATCCATCCCATCAAGAACATCACTAAAAACGGCGGGTTTTACGTAGAAACCCTTTTGAGTAGGGATTTTATGATAATCATTTTTATTAGATGTCAGCAATGAGGCTCCTTGATCTATGCCAGATTTGATAAAACCCAATATTTTATCGGCTTGCTCCTTGTTGATCTGAGGACCGTGCTCCGTTTTGAGATCAAAAGGATCCCCCATTTTGTCGTGGAGGGAAAGGGCAAGGGTTTTGCTTTTGCTGACGAATTCGTCATAAATCTTTTTTTGTGTTTATATATTATTTTTTAACTTTTAGCGAAATTTTATATTTATAATATCAATTTTAACAAGATATAAATTAAATTATTATAATGTATAGACCATCCTTTTTTTGAAAATTAAACAATATATAATGTGATATTAAAGAGAAAAAAAGAATGGAATTATTATTTTCTTCTTCTTCTTCGTTAAATACCCCTTTTCCAAGTTTATCCGTGTGGGCCCGTAACCTTTCTAATCCGCTTTCTACATTTTCCGCGCATAAACACTAGCTATAGCATTTCATGTGATTATCTACCCACTTTCACCCTGCTTGTTTTTGGTTGCCCTCTACATCTTGTTCCCTCTATTTCTAGCCAAGGGCATCTATTATTCCAATATTCATTTATTTTCCGTTTAACATGTCCAAACCATTTCAATTGATTCTCGCGGCTTCATCTATGGTTTCTATCCTTCCCTTTCTTTGGGTTCTTTACTTTTTATTTTTTCTCTCGGAGATAACCCACATATACATCCAACCATTTCCATCTCCGTTCTTTCTAACTTGACTTCGTGCGTTGCCTTAATTGCCCTGGCGTACATCATAAAACTTCCCCAGATTTTAAACTTTTCCCATTAAAGCTAGAGGCATTTTTATCCGTTATAATTGAAAATATCACCCTGATATCTTCCTCCACTGCGCTTAGTATATAGTCTAAGTAGGAAAGCTTCCCCACTTTTCCCAACAAAACCAGATATATCACCATAATCTTGCGCCACTTTCTACGAATAAATGTCGTGCTTGACTTCTGCAGACTTCCCTTTACACCACTATTTAAATATTTATTTCGTATATATAGGGAATGAGAGCTAATTGCAATTGTAGAAAAATTAAAGGCAACTGAAACTTATTCTAAAATAAAATATCTTTTTTATCATTCCGATATGAGTTTATTCATTTTATCTATTAGTTTCTGGCAAATAACTTATTCCTCTAAATAATCTATTTCACATAGCAAAAGCGCGATGTTTGTTTGCAGAAAATGTGTGAAGGATGATTAAAATAAGATATTGAAAATGAAATAAGCTTGGGAAAAGTATGGAAGTTTCGTGATATAGGCGATACGCTTAGCGCAGATGGAGACGTTGTTTTGGCAGTGGTAGCAAAAAAATATGCAGAAAGAAATTTAGAGTGGTCTTCAATTTTAACTGATAAAAATCTCACTCTAACTTTGAAGGGAAAAATTTATGTAAGCTGTGAGAAGTTGTATGATGTACGCCAGCGAGACGTGGACAATTAAAGTGACTCACGAAGTCAAATTAGAAAGAACGGAGATAAAAATGATTTGATAAATATAGGGAGTATCTCTACGAGAAAGAAAAATAAGTAGGAACAGAGAGAAAGGATGGGATAGAAGCAATAGGTGATGTCTTGAGAATAAACAGACTGAGCTGGTTTGGACATGTTGAACGAAAGACTAAGGATGATACGTTGAATTCATGCCGTTGGTAGGAAGTGGAGGGGGCAAGACCTAGAGGGCGACATAAGACATGCTGGATGAAATTGCTAGATAATGACATGAAAAAAGTCAGGTTTGACCTGGTACGATGCTCAGGACAGCGTAAAATGGATAAAGGAGATTAGAAGAGAAAATGGCCTACCCGGGTAAGCCTGGAAAAGGGCCACTAAACGATGAAGAAGATTGATGTTTTAGATTAAAACATTTCATAAAACAGAATTATAGGTGTCAACATGATATCAAGAATCGTATATCGTAATATACTCTAAAAAATAAAATATTTTATGGAGACATTAATATTTATTGTTGCATAATCTTATCAAAGTTTATTAAGTTAGTTTTCCGAATATCATTTTTTTAAATCTACTTCCGGGTTTAAAAAAATTTTTCAATTAGTTATTTCCCAAAAACCGATCCGATATTTGTTATTGTTTTTGATTATTTTATGAATCATATAATTTTTTTTATTTTATAAATAATTAAATAATAATAATATTTGTTATGCTTAAAAAAATAGCTAAAAATTTTATACTTTTTTTTGTTAAATTATCAGCATCAAGAAAAAGATTTAAAAAATATCTAACCATTCACATTCAGCTAGTGCTGTTATAAGTTCAATTTTTGAAAAAATTGCTCAAGATTTTGGCCAAAAGTAAATTTAGAGTATTAAAGGAATTAATCAATTACCAAAACCTCCAACTAAAATTAGATTTGGCCCAAAGATGATGAAAGGTTTTTACTTTTATTGGCGAAATTACGAGGCTTAGGTGATAATATTTTGACGAAAACCATAATTTGGCTTTTTTTATAAATCAACTAAATGGAGTTGTTTAACAACACTATATTCACTCATTAACATTGCAAGTATTTTATTTGATTATTAATTTTGGAGAATAAAAAAAATACATATAATCATTCATGAAAGTTAGTTGGATTTTTAAAATAGAAAATATTGATATTTTTATGACATTGATACAAAGATAGATGGTAAATAAAAATCAATATAAATATCGGATCGGCTTTTAATAATATCGGGAAATATCGGATCGGTTAGGTGAAAGATTTGTGAATCAGCACTGCCCTTACCAAACTCCAAAATATATAATTAATAATAATAAATAAAACAGTATTAAAGATAGGAAATGAAATCGATCAACAAACTTTTTTTTTCTGTATTGAAGACCCTACGATCTATGAAATTTAAAAACATCAGTTGATGTTTACTAAACTCTTATATAAAAGTCAGAGTGAATAGCTATTGAACCAGTATTAAATTACCAAACTGGATCGTATGACCAATGATAGCCCAAGAAAGAAGATGTGCGTAGCTCTCTTGTGGGAAAAGGTAAAGGAGAGCAGATTGAGATTAGGCCACGACCTATTTGTACTTCTCAAATCCGCAAGAACATGTTAAATAAGAAAATATCGTTGATATGACCCAAAATCGAGCCATTTGGAAGGGTAGAACACGTTATAGGACCCCAGCTAGTTTTAGGATCAACACGATGATGAAAATTATAATATATAATAAAAAAATGTTCAATCCCAAGTTGGACAGTAGGGAAACATATGGTTAGAGTGAATATTATATTAAAAATCACCCACCAAAAAAAAATGTATGTAGAGAAATGGTCCGACAAAATAATTACGTGGAATTTATTTCTCAAATCGTATAAATTCATTTTCGCTAGGAAAATATTAGTGCGAATTAAAAAATGAGTTATTGATTGCTAAGATGAAGCATAGCAATCTTTAACAAATAATTTCAAGCAAAAAACGCTTTTAAAACCTTTTCTTCGACGAAAGTCCTAGAACCGGCGGTACAGCATTGTCCCATGTTGAAAAACAGAGCGAAATGAGATTGTTCAACGGCTTTATCTATACTTTCGCAATCAGCGAATATTATATTAGGTGATTTTCCACCTAACTCAAGAGACACTCTTTTAAGATCCTTGTTTGAACCTGCGTATTTTAAGATTTCCCTGCCTATCTAAAAAATTATTGATATATTTTATAAAATTAGTCGATAAAGATTATTTAAATGTCATAAACTAAAAAAATGATTGGCGTATACCTAAGGATTTGGTGTTAAATTGCAAAAGGATAAATGGATTAAGAAAGTAAGGAATGTTAATAAACATTATTATTTTAAAACCTCGGTAGATCCAGTGAAGGCGACTTTGTCCACGTCGGGATGTTGAGCTAATGAAGCTCCAGCAGTTGGGCCGAAACCCGGAACCACATTGATAACACCTGGTGGAAAACCCGCCTTTTTTTGTTTTATAAATTTACAATTAAATACTTTTTAAAAAAAATTGTGTTATTATGAGTTATAAACATTTATGAGATTAAAAAAATGATTAATTTTAATTTTACAAGATATAATAATTAACAATTTTGGCTGCTTTTATATATGCATCATTATTATAATTGTGTAATTGTTAAAAATCGGCTAGTTCGGTTCGGTCTGCCTTCGCGTGCCAAAAAGAATCCGGAAAGTATTGCGTGAGTATATTTATTCATGCTTTCTTCAAAGAACCATATTTTTAAAAAAAACGAGGATGCGTTGACAGTTCCTTATTAAAATACTAGGTTTAGCTGTTTTTTAGCGGACTAAGAATAGACCAACTAAAATCATTAGTACAAGGTTAATAAATGAATTTATAAATAATGACAAAATTATTTTAACATTTTATAACAAATTTAGATTGGTTAAGAAAAATTTAAAATATATTTTAACAGTAGTTAGTTTATGTTCCTTGATTATTTATTTTATTGCCAATAAAGCCCTTTAAATTTTCAATAAGCTTTTCTTTAAAGTATTTTACTTTTAATTCCTATTTTAATTGATCTTTAACAAAATCCTATTTAATTTGGGTATTTTTCTCCAAATTAAATTGATAACCCCTAAATAATACAGTATGAAGAAAAGTTAAGTTCAATTAAAACTTGCTTACACTTTTAATTCCTTAACTCTCTTTGGCTCTATAGGAAACATGATTTATTTATTTTAGAAGCAACAACCAAAAACGAACCTCAGCTGTCAATTCGGCCACGTGAAGAGCCGAAAGCGAAGTTAGTTCGGCCGGTTTTAGCACGAGAGTATTACCGGCGGCTAAGGCTGGCCCCATTTTCCATGCTTGCATGAGCAAAGGAAAATTCCAGGGGATAATTTGCCCGCAAATCCCGACCGGTTCTCTACGAGTCATGCACATGAAGTTGCCATCTAATGGAATGGTTTTACCGTGTATTTTATCAGCCCAACCCGCGAAATATCTTAAATTTTTTATAAAAAAATTCATAATTTTTCAGGTCTAACATTTTTAAGCAATTCTTTAAAATATTTGCTTCAATTACCTGAAAGGTGAAGAATTATTTTATAAAGAGGGGTTAAGGAAAGGTAATATACATGTAATATATTGTAGTAAATGTTATTTTTAAAAATATTTCTTTCTTTCTTTAGTTACACATAAAAGGGTAACTTGTAACTAATTATATTTCAAATTGCATAACAATACACAAATATAACAGAGTATAATATTTATCTTTCATAAAAATTTGGGCTTAATAAAATTTGAAAAGATTTTATTACCAATTTTTTTTAAAAATTGGTAACTAATTTGGTATGTTAGATTTAATAAACTAAGCCACCGTAGATTAAGCAAACTTTTCACAGAAACGCTTGATGAAATGAGATATTAGATTTAGCTCATCGAAAATTATTCGATATTCGATTAGATTTATAATTATTAAAAAAAAAATTTAATTATTCGTAAATTTTAGAAAATTATATATTTTAATAAAATATCAAATTATTGTTTAATTATAGAATTTATATACACATATTAATAATTAAATTTTTATAAAATTAAAGCCACAGTAACTAAATATGTTATTTTTTTCTGGCATCTGTATTATGGGGTCTCAATAAATTAAAGAAACATTACATTTGGTGTATTACATCCCTACAACATTTTAAAATCTTAAAAACATCATCAACCACTCAGTCTTTTAAAGAAAACATTACCTTGTTTAAGACTAGAATGCATTCTTTTAAAGCATAAAGAATAATCCAGATAGGGGCCGGCAAAATAGATTATTTCGCCCCAATCAACGGGCAACCCGGCGTCACCAATTTTTTAAAAAAAAAGCTTAATAGGAAAATAATCTCAAACTATTTTTTTTTAAATTATAATCTCTATTCTAAAGCTATGGCATTAAATTTAAATATTCATGCTATAACTTTGATAATTTCCCAATTTACAAAATTACTAAAGAAATAATAGTAAATATTCCCCAGCTCCCCTGTTTTTTTTAAAAATAAAGCTTTAATAAAACTATTTTAATGATTTATTTTATTTCTTTCGTCCTATTTTTAATTTGAAAATCTAACCAATAACAATAAATATTGCTAAAATTGATATAAAAATTTGATGGCGGCAAAAATTAAATTAAAAATTTTTACACAAAAATATAGTCCTAAATTTTTTTAAAAACTGTTCGGGTTCAGTAAAATCTCAAGGATTCGAAGGGTTCATGTTCTCACCCCAAATCAGGCCTTAACCTGAAGTGCGTAGTCAAATAAAGATAAACAGATGGTAGTGCAGCTTTAAGACCTAGGTTTTATATCATAGATTATGAGCCTTGTCTTGAAAATAATTATAAATATGCCCAAGTCAAAATTTAAACTGTGTAAAAAATAATTATTCATAGCTTGGAAGATTTTAACATCTTAACTTGAAGTAAAAAAAGCATAAAATAAAGACAAATCTTATTAGAAATATCTCATACAATTTATACATTCAAAATATTTTGCCGATTATATTTGATAAACCCTTTTAAGGTTTTAAAGCTTACTAAATATTACTACTTTATTTACAATATATCCATGAAAGGGAGATGTGCCATAAATGGCCATGTTTTTGATTTTTTCAAGAAAAGGCATTAAGATATGGGTTTAACCGAACAAATTTTATATCAATGTGTACACTTTTAATCTTAAAAATAAAATTTGAATCTAAGCTCTATCTAAAAGTTTAAGAGCTAGATGGGTTATGTGAAAGTTGTTTCTCTGGCCAGTCAGAAGATGGTATGTATTGACTAGCCATGATGTATTTAAAAATTTTATTATAAATATGAAATATTACAATATGAAATACTTGTAAAAGACCTATGTTAATATTTATACATCTTTTAGGTATATAAAAAATTAATTATACACTAAATTAGTATTAAGATCTCAATTTATCATTTATTTAATAATAATATTACAAATTATTATCTTAATTATCTTTTTATTAAACATTCTTAAGCTGTTCATCATTTAAAATTTCATAAAATGTTGTTTTTCACGAGCTTTTCATTCTATATGAATGTGTGAATGTATTAATTGTGGCCGGTCAATACATGGCCATACAATATTCACCTGTCTATTATTATTCAGCACCTTTATATGTCTATTATATAAAACTTGTAAGCTCTAATTTTGTGTGAATAATGTTAAAAGCCTGAGGATAATATTTATATAAAATATCAGTAATCTAAATTAGTAATTTTATCACCAAACAAAAAAATGTGTAATGTGATTTTTCTGGAAAGAGGTACTAAAACAGTCTATTTTTATATTTTTTTATATTAAATTGCTCTATTCAATAAATGAACTTATAAGGTACATATAAATATACACATTTTGACCAATTTTGAGAAAAAACTGACCAATAGATAAAAAGTTAAAGAGTAGTGGCCAGTCATCCAACATAGCCCCCTATATTAATATTATGTCACAAGTTTTTAAAATTCTCAATATTAAAATTTTTATAACCTGTAACACTTTATAGTGAGCCCTAAATCAACATTGTAGGATTGGGAATATGGTTTACCATTATCAAGAGTTTCTAAACTAGCTAAATAAGCACGATCCCTTTCAATCAAATCGGCCAATTTTTGCAAAAGATTGCCTGTAATAAATGGAAAAAACAATTATGGTATTCATGTCAAATTTGATCCAAAAAATTTATTTTAGAGTACTCCTTTGAATTTGTGTTTTGTACAGGTATAACTAAAACTATGTTCAAATATTTGCATCCTACTTATATATTTGGAGATAGCAAGAAAAGAAAAATGACCTATTTTTACACTCAACGATTGTCATTCAATTAAAGATTTACTAAAAAACAAAGAAATATATTGATTCAAACCGGTTTAAAGCAAAATAAAATAAATAATTCTCATTTTCATTATTTTCCTTGTGGTGTAATTACATATTTTACCATCTCCATAGTTATTTATAATTATTAAATGATCAAAATTGGAATTTAAAAAAGCTACTTTAAATGCACACAAAGAACATAATTTAGAAATATTATTGATTCGTTTGAAGGTGTTGAAAGGATCGATAAAATAATCATCAGTTTTTATATTTTGGGAATCAAAAAAAATTTGAATATCCAGAATTATATAAACTTGCTCTTAAAGTATAGGCAGTTCCTGCAACACAAGTTTCTAAAGAAAGGGTCTTTTTGGGGTTAAAATTTGTGTTATCGTCATAATGAACAAATATGCATCCATTTATATTAAAAAATATATTACTTATATTTTCAAATAATATATTTAAAAATGAGTTATTTTGAATCATATATATTTTATATATAATTCATAGATGCTTAAATAAAAATAAATTAGTGATGGCAAAATTTTTAAATATTCATAATTAAAATCATTATACGATGGTGTTACTTCAAAAAAAAATTTCCAACCGTAATGAGCCATTATAAACCATTACAATTAGCTGAACCGAACCTATATAAATTTTTTCTTAAGAACCATAACCAAAATGTAACCATTATATTTTTTTACATACAGGAGCGTAACTCTCTTATCTAATTTTAAAATGTTGTAATTGTTGAAAAGAAGAAATAAATTTAATATAATGCATAAAATGTCAGTTATTTTCTGACAGGGGAATTACGTTTTCCTTGGGGGAAGGAAGAGGAGATGATGATCAGGTGGTGTGTTTTCATTGTTAGGAAAAACCACTAGTTGGAGATTGGGAGATATTGGATAAGATGTCAGCTTTGGACCTTTGGGAGATGAAGAAATGGATAATTATAATTGATTATATTATATTTTACCTAATAGATTAGATTGTTTTATTATGGATAAATATAATTTTGAATAAATGGGTTATGTTAAATATGGATCGTCGTTAATGGTCAATGGTATTTATTTAATATTATTAGAAAGAATTATGTTGGATTGTTAAGTTGTATAATTGAGAGTGAAAAGGCATTTTTATTATATCTGAGTTGACTTGTAATACAAAACATTATTATTTATTTTAGCTACTTTACTAATTAAAGGTCTTTTTCAACTTTAATAAGGTTAAAACCCTATTTAAGAAATTTTAGCGGTGAAAAGCGTTTATATTAAATATTTATAAGGAGATTATTATGGAAAAAATTCTAATTCTATATGAATTACCAAATCTCAGAGATAAGCAGACCTCTCTTTATAAATTTAAATCAAAAAAAATCAATATGATTATATTGGTTTTAAAATATAAAATTTATAATCAAATTTTTTCGCTAAATAAATTCTTAGTTACAATATTTATATAATTGTTGTATTAACTCTTAAATTTATGCAATAATTACTATTTTTAATCAAAGTACTGTGGTCATATTTTTTTTAAATACCATTATTTGCACAAGAATTATAGCCCGTCAAGAATGACGGGGAATCAGAATTTTCTTATTTATTCATGATGGATTATAATAAATTTAACCTTTATTTGATGAATGAATCAGAAATTTTCCTATCTTATGAGATGTGATTCAGAAATTTATATTTATTTAGATGAGAAGTAATTCTAAAATTTCCCATTTTTTATAAAATATTGGTGACCCAGTGGTGTGTGATGTATGCTTGTAAACAGAAGGTCCCAGGTTCAATCCTGGTAAAGAACTAAAATTTTTCGGGTTTTTCTCCGATGATGGATGGCTTTAGACATATGATAAATTTCTGAGCCGAGAAATGCCACCCCGGTCATCGATAGGCTTGGACAGCCGGGTGCTAGGATACTTGTCCAATAAACTAAAAAAGATGGCCAGCTGAATTCGTGGGTCAGATGATAACAATTTCTTGGCCAGCGCTAGGATGATTGTGACCTTTGGGGCCGCTCGAGCTCAATGTCTACCAATACAATGGACTTGATAACGATACTCCAGTGAGAGATCCATCAGGATTGATACTCCAGTGGGAGATCAGGATTGGGATATCTGTCGATTTGATAATTCGGTGAGAAATACTCCAGTGGGATATCTGATCGATATTGATTTGATACACCGGTGGGAGATCAAGATACTTTGGCCTCGATAGCCATATATTGGCGGTGATCAATACAAATGAAATCGATTAGAAATACAAATATAAATTAGATAAAAATAGATAGCATGAGTAATAATAAAGTGGAGATAGATAGTGAAGGAGCTTACCACCAAAAAAGGTGAAAGCTAAAAGGAAAAAAAATAAATATACATACCTCACAATGACTTTCTTTATTTCCTTGTGTACAACAATTTCTTGAATCCAGCAATTATCAGAAATTTTTTTGCAAATGATTTAAATATATCTGTGGTTTGATTATTCCTTTAAGTTCAAATAAAGTCAGATGGAAAAGGAAATAATTCAGTTATTGAAATTAGAGACCATCATGGGTCTTGATTTATTCATCAGCTCCAGCCCAGGTCAGAGTAAAAATAATTTGCATGCCCAGTCCATATTTAATAAAATATTCAAACCCAGGCACATCATAAGTTTCAAAAATTTTGCCCAAGCCCATAATCAAAATTTTAATTTATTGTTTTAAATGAAAATAAACATTATATAAGTGTATTTAGGCAATCATTTTGTTTGCAATACTGAAATTTATTATTATTAGAAAAAAAATGCAATATATTTTTAAGTTAGTAACATAATAGGCTAAATGTAAATGAAAATTTTTTAGGCTTTTTATTAAAAACCCTGTCCTGCCCCAGGCACGTTAGTAAATATATTATACCTGGCACCCCATGGGATGCAAGCTTCCCCATGAATATCTGACTGAAATGTTAAACCATTTTCAATCATAAAAATATTTTGTCACCTGAGTTAACTCCATTTTTGTCAAAAATAATTTTTTTTGATTGATTGATTAATTAAGAATATATTAATCTATTTACATAAAAAAAATCTTAGAATTCTAACTTATAAATAAATTATAGCTAGTATTCGATTATTCTATCCCCCTATTTTTTCTTATTGATAAAAATATATTATTCATTAACAAAAAATAATCGATTCATCCGGCATGATTCTTTAAAACGTTTTCAAGTATTATGTAAATGGGATTAAGAGTTTTTTTAACTGATGTATGGTTTTGTATAAAGATCCTGATATTAATGATCCAAAAAACAAAAAATTAAAAAGAATATTTTTTATTATTGAAAGAAAAATATTATTACCATAATTTTTATTCATTTTATTAAAATATATAAAAAATTTTAAAATAAAGAGTAATTATTATTCTATAAAATTTTTGGATTTAAAGAGAAGTTGTTTGGAGAATAGAACAATATTTCTTAAAATAATAAAAATAAAATTTGGTTTTTATTCTATCTCGATTTAGAATAATAATAAAAATTTTTTAAGAAATGTATCATAGTATTTTATATAATTGATATGGAACTATTAAATAACCCCATTTATCTCAAAAAATCATTTAAATGCTTTTAAAACCTTCATAAATACTCTTTTAAACAAAGACCTCCTATCATAAATTTGAATCAAATATGTGGTCAACCAGATCGAATCACAAAAACTGTGGTAGTATCAATCCCATTGCAATTGGCTATTTAGAAGATTATTAGCAAAAATAATTGCTATTGGTCAAAATCCAGAGTCTTAATTTATTAGTTATATATAGACCTGTGCGCCGGCCGGCCGTTGACCGGCCGCCGACCTTTTTTGGTTACGCCAAAACGCCACCGTTAAGAAAATCACGCCGGCGCGCCGCCGATGGCGCAGAAATTTCTTTCTACCTTTTTATTTTAATAATTGGTCAACATCACTTTTGTAATTTTTTAATGTCAATCAGGATTTTGATAAATTTTTATTTTCTACTATTTTAAAATCTTAATTATATTGACGTCATTATAGAATTCAATCAATCAAAAACCTAAAATTCCAAAAGTTACCATAAATTTACATATTTTTAAAATGGATGCATCTACTTTAATAATTTAAATAATAGTATCTTAACCCTGGATAATAAAAAATCCATAGTCTGGAAATTTTTTGCAAAAGAATTAGAGAAATTATTACTGCTCTAAGATATAAAACTGCAGAGATTGAATTTGAATTCGTAGAATATCAAAGAAAATACCTAAGTACAATAGATTTAACATCAGACATGTTAGATCTTGACAGCATTGATCCATACCTGGTTTCAAATTGGCAATTTCAATGATAATAATAATAATAATTCCACGCATATGAAAACCTTAAAATTAAATATCCCAACACGTTGGCATAGTATATTAATTATGCTAGAAAGCATATCTGGATTAAATAAGATTTAATTAATAATATTTTGAAAAGAATTGGGAAGCACTTTCTCAAATTATGAATCTGATCTGATAGAAAAACTATTAGCATTTCTTTCAAAATTTAAAGAAACTGTCGAATTTCTTTCAGTACTAAAAGGGCCTACTTTAAACTTGGCGTTACTTTTTAGAAGTGAGAAACACATTTAATAGTAAATGATAGTGATATTTCTGAAATTATTTCACTTAAGGAAAATATCCTAAAAAAAACTTGCGTTACGATTTCCGGTTTGTAATCTGCAAGTAATATTATATAAGTATATTCTTTTATTTTTTATTTAAAATTATCTAGGCATTGGCTTCTCTTTTAGATCCAAGATTTTAAAAATGACAATTGTGTCAAAGTATTTAATAGAGCAAAATTGCTCAGCTTCAGAGTTTATAATAAAACATCTTAAACTTATAGAGAATGATGATAATCAGGTAATAAATATAGCTAATGAGGATGAAGATGAATTATTAAATTCAAGTTATTTCACAAAATTGGCAAATAAACATTCAACAAATATCAATCATGATTCCAAGTTAGGTGATTTAGAACAAAAATGCGACTTTCTTGGAAAATGACATTCACAAGATATGGACGTTCTAAATTTTTGGAGTGAAAAGAAAAGTAAACTTCCCAATCTTTTCAGGCTCGCCAAAAAATTCTTTGCATTGCTGCGACTAGCACACCTAGTGAAAAAGTTTTCTCTACCGCTGGATTGACGTTAAATTCAAGGAGATCATCATTATGTCCCAAAAATTTTAATAAAATAATTTTTATACATGATAATTAAATTAAGAAATCGATTTTGGATATAATAAGTTTTTTATTAAATGAATATTAAAAAATATGTCGAGATATCAGAATAGATTATATTTATTTGTTTTTTTAAAAGAAAAGCAATTTAAAAAATTTATCTTATAAAAATTTATATATGTGCCGATTTTATTGACGGCAGCTAAAAATCGGCGCGCCGCTGGCAGTAGATTAGATTTTTTATTGCGCCGGCCGCCGATATTTCGTCGGCGCACAGGTCTAGGTATATAGCAATTAGGATTGAGTGTTATTATATAATATTCAGAATCTTCTTCCTAACATGGATATTATCAAAGAATACTTTAAAAAGCTTTTGATAACAAATTTCGAGATCATTTCATTAATTCTTTTACTCCTTAATTCCAATTCCTTGAGACTTACATGGTAAAATGTGTTAGAACTGCTAGCTTGTCTTGTCCTTCACTGGGAAACAATTAAGTGGCTTCCACCACCCAAAAGAGTGTATCCATTGCTGTGAATTGCATCGAATGTTTGGCAGTAAAATTTACACTACTGTGAGGGCCCATTTAATTAAAGAGGGTTGATGGTACATGATACCTCTGTGGATACGTCAGTATCAACTAATTGACAGTTATTTACCCTACTCTCAGGACCCATAAAGCTAGGGTCCACTGATTGACAGTAATTTACATAGATTATTGGTGGGAATAGAGAAATAAGAAAATATATATTTAATAGTGTGCTTATCTTTTTAGAGTATTTGTTTCAATAGATTAGTGAATTTTTGGTGGTAATCATTATTTATGTTTTAAAAGGGGATGACTAAAATACGCCCAAGAAGCAATATTTAAATTATATTATTATAGAATCATATTAACTTTATAAGATGAGGCAGAAAATGTTTTTTTTATTTTTTAAAAAAATGGTAGCAGTAAAATTTTTTAAAAATTATTAAAAATAAAATTTTTTTTGACTTAACGCACCCCCAGTAAATATAATTATTTTTAAAAAATGAATATAGATTCATGTATAACATTTCAAGGAGATTCAGAAAATGGTATTATTTATTTACAGGGGGCGCGTAGTTTAGTCAAAATAAGAAGAAATTAAGTGTTTTTCCCAAATCTCAATATGTTATAAAAAGTCGTAAATTATAATATTTTCTTATGTCAATCATTTCAACTTTGATTTTTGTAATATTTTTTTTACCATTTATTATTAATTTTTTTTTGTGAAAAACTGATTGAAATGATTATTAATTTTTTATGCGTAAATTGATAAACCCAATGTCTTTTAAGTAATTAATTTTGGATATTTAAAAAAATAAAAGTTTATAAAAAAAGAATAAAGTATTGCATTTTTAGCTTGAGTGAGAATTAGTATTATTGACGTTTCTTCGCGCTTTTTTAATTTCAGTAAGTTATTTTTATATTTAGATCTTTGCCAGTTTGGATTGTCTGCGTATTTTGTTAGCGTTTTCTGCTTAATTTTGATAGTTATTTTTATTTAGTCTTTTTTTTCTATTTCAGTTTTTTTAGTAGTAATTTTTTCAAATACCATTTTCTGAATCTCCTTAAAAAGTTATACATGATTCTGTATTCATTTTTTAAAAATAATGTATATTTAATGGGGGCGCGTAGTTTAGTCAAAAAAAGAAGAAATTAAGTATTTTTCCAAATCTCAATAAGTTATAAATAATTTATAAACTTGATATTAACATTTTTTGATTCTTTTTAATGAGCTTAATACGATTATGCTTTAATTTTTTATGAATTTAGCTTCTTTGATAGGGGACGCATAGTTAAGCCAAAAAAGAATATTTGCTTTTTCAAAAGACCAAAAATTTTAAAATATAATATTAACATTTTTATACCTTTTAATAAGCCATATATGATTCTGCATTTATTTTTTATAAATTAAGCTTCTTTGATAGGGGGCGCATATTTTAGTCATGCAAAAAAATAATTTTTTAAAAATTTTACTATGTTATCATTTTTTTTAAATGAAAAAATACATTTTCTGCCTCATCTTATTAAGCTAAATACGATTCTATAATAATATAACTTAAATTAAGCTTCTTTCATAGGGGGCACGTAATTTTTATATAATAAATAAAATCTATAATTAAATATCCTCTAAAATTTTTTTATGTGTAAATATTTAAAATAATTTTAACATAACCTAAGATATAAGCAATTGAGTGTTCATAAAAAATTGGAAGTTTGGGAGGCAAAGCCCTCCAAAATTTTTAACCCCCCCCCTCTATAAGAAACTGGCTATACCACTGTTTAGACCACTCAACTAACTCAAAAATTAAATATTTTGGTTTGTGCTAAATCAGGATCTTAGTCCTTTACTAAGACAAACCAAAACAGTTATCAAAAGACTAAAACAAATTTTTTTTAAATAAATAAAACAAATATATTTGTTCAAATTAGTTAATTCAGATAATATTCACTTTACTTACTCTATTTTTATGTATATCAACTATATTATGTAAGTAAATATTTTTATTAAAATCATGTATAAATTTAAATGTTGCAATAAGGCAAACTATAAAATTTTGATCTAATAAATCTATTTTAATATAATTATTGATTTTTAGTAACTGTAAAAAAAAATTATTTATTAAGAATATTATATGTGACTTATTATATAAAAATTAAGAAATGGCACCTCTTTCACATGCATCCATTTTCCTCCATGGTGAATTTATATCAAATGCTTTTTTAGCTGCTTTTACAGCTTTATTAATATCTTCTGCTTTACCTTCTTCTATTTGACATATCACCTCTTCATTTGAAGGATTAATCGTTGGAAATGTTGACCCTGATTCTGATTTGACCCACTCATTATTTATGAATATCTAGTTTTATTTTAAATTAATAACATAATTTAATGTACTCCAGTGTATTTCGGAAAAATATTCCTTGTGGGCTGCGGCAATAGTTTGGAATAAAAACGAATTTGGGAATGTAAATATTTTGAAAATTTGAATATTTTTGGTAACATATCAAATTACTGAATATTTTATAAAAACTGCTGCTCTAAAGGTTGTCACTTGTCAACTATTTGATAGTGACAGATGAATTTATATTATAGTTTAAGTTTATTTTAATCGATTCTAAGTATTTTCTAATTTACTATTTAAATATATTTTTATTTGTCTACTTAACATGTATTATTTTATTACTTAATTTCAAGATTCGTTTCATTTTTATTAATTCTATAATTAAATGTTTTATGTAATTTTAATTAACAACTTAAATTTTGTTAAACTATTCTTGTTTCTATATTTAAATAAACACATTCAAAAAATGGATATAAAGGAAAAAAATTTTGTCTTATTGCATATATTAAATTATAATATTTAATTCTTAAACTTGATCATGGTTGAAATATTATTCATTTTTTGAAATGAAGTAAAACATATGTATAAAAAAATTCTATTATCTCACTCACCTTTTTTTTTTACATATTATGGCTAAAATTAAATTATAATATTTAAATATTAGTAAATATTGGTATTTCTATTTCTTGCTAATCCTGCTTAATAAATTAACTACTGAAAATGCAGGCATTTATATTATGGAGATACATAAATTTTTAAAAAAATTTAAATTCACCTCCTCAGCCCCATACCTAAACAATATATTTTTTTGTTTAAATTCTGATGTCTCATAATTTGTGATCCGCCATTTATTACTCCCCACGATTTGTGATTCATGGCCATGTATAAAAAAATTCTTTATCTCACTCACCTTTTTTTTTTACATATTATGGCTAAAATTAAATTATAATATTTAAATATTAGTAAATATTGGTATTTCTATTTCTTGCTAATCCTGCTTAATAAATTAACTACTGAAAATGCAGGCATTTATATTATGGAGATACATAAATTTTAAAAAAAATTTAAATTCACCTCCTCAGCCCCATACCTAAACAATATATTTTTTTGTTTAAATTCTGATGTCTCATAATTTGTGATCCGCCATTTATTACTCCCCACGATTTGTGATTCATGGCCATGTATAAAAAATTCTTTATCTCACTCACCTTTTTTTTTTACATATTATGGCTAAAATTAAATTATAATATTTAAATATTAGTAAATATTGGTATTTCTATTTCTTGCTAATCCTGCTTAATAAATTAACTACTGAAAATGCAGGCATTTATATTATGGAGATACATAAATTTTAAAAAAAATTTAAATTCACCTCCTCAGCCCCATACCTAAACAATATATTTTTTTGTTTAAATTCTGATGTCTCATAATTTGTGATCCGCCATTTATTACTCCCCACGATTTGTGATTCATGGCCATTTCTGATTCGGAGCTATTACTGAATCCTATGCTTTACCCCCCCCCCTCTACCGAAGGGAGGCTCTAGTATTATATCATTTGATGATCTTTAGTCCTCTATTTATTTTGTTAGACAAATTCTCATAAATAAAAAGAAAGGGATCATTCATCAACGTTGCATTTATAATACACTAAAAAATATGTGATCTAAGAGATATAAGATGGGCTAGAATTAATTAGAATAGGTTTAAATATATAAGAGTTTTTATAAATATTAATCAAAAATAATGTATGCCATTTTGAGCTAAAATTTGCGAATTCTAATAGCATATACATTGAATAAATATTTTGCAAAATTTTTTAGCTGTATATCGAAAAGTCATATTTTAAATTATTTCAACTCAAAAAATGATAATCTGTAAAAAAATTAATATATAGGATATTTTTTTTAATCTAAAATATCTTTGTACAACATATTTGTATCAAGCCTTCCGGAAGCTAACATTTATAAATCAGGCGATCGGGCTCTATCTTTTTTTGGACATGGCTTCGTATTCCAGTGTACTGGATCAGCCCTAGTAGCTACTACTAGTTATTGAAATAAAAAAGAGAAAAATATTTATTTTTATGGGGTTTGTACGTCATCACTCTGGTTTCCAGATATGACAATTCTATTCCAAATAGTATGTAATCTTAGAAAATTTAGCTACTATAGTTGCGTTAATTAAAAAACATTATAAAATTTAATGAGAAGAAAATCTAAAAATTAATTTTTTGTGAAAAATTGATCTTCATTAATTCAAATACATAAGAAAATTGTATCGTAGTTTAAGACTAGGTTAATTATCAAAATCAATTTTATATTCGGCATTTAATATGATGTTTTATTCAAAGCGCATTTTAATTATATGGTATTAAATTTTAAAAAATTAATTGTCATGAAATATTAGCATATAATTAGTTTAAATCATATTTAATCGGCTGATTGTTTTTTTAAGAGAAATAATAAATATTTATTCACATATAATTACAGATATATAGCCAACCAATAATTTTATTTAGTTATTATGACCCCGAACCCAATATTTAATAATATAATGACATAAAGCATTAGTTAAATCTTTATTTATAATATATATAGAACTCTATACAATATATTTTTCCATTAAAATTAAATTAATATATTTAGCCAAGAGCCTTTTTTATTAACATTCTTGAAGAATCTTGGAATACACTAAATAAGGTAAAGGTATCTGCATTTTTTTATCTTTAATTGTCAATTCAGATTCATGGTATTCTGCTTTAATTAATAAGTGCCCAAATAAAACTTTCCTTTCATTATTTTGGTTAGCTAATTGTCCTTCCACAATAACACCTTTCCTTTTTTGTGTTAGCGTTACCTAACATATATTTATTATTATATTTAAAATTTAGCAATTAATAAACAATTTTTAATAGTAAAATATAATTATGCAATTAGATATAGCATTACATCAAAAACCTCATAGAATTAACATTTTTTTATTTGCCTAGATGATTGATATACAATTAAACATAACCGTTAATAATTAAATGGATAAAATATTTTTTATAATTTGTATGAAAATATAAATATTTTTAAAAAAATCTTTTAGATTTTTGAAATATATTTGAGTTTATTCATATTAATATAAAACCCTAACCCCTGAGTTCTAGGTTCTGGTCTCTTACTTTGGAGACTTTCGTTATCTGTCAATCAAGCAAATTGAAAATCTTGGGCTTAAAGATTTAGGATGACATAAAGAAATTCTTGTTATATTAGCCGTAATAAAGTTCCATATTAAAAAAAATCTGCCATTTTCAAACCTGTTCAGGATTTTTTTATAATTTTGATCATTTTACGACCCAAACTAGAGGTCTGCAAAGGGCGGATTTGAGTTTTTAGCCAAAAAGCCCGCTCATTCGTTGTTTTAAATTTTTTAATCCACCCACTCGCTCATTTATATTTTTTTTTAATTTACCCACCCTACCGGCAACTATAAATTTTGTTTAACCTGCCCTCCCGCATTATGCTTAAAAATTATTTTAATGGCTGGTTTGGCTCTTTATTGATTTTAATATATTTTTAATTAAACATATATAATATGCATTAATTAAAACTATTATTTTTAATAAATTAAAGTCTATTCTGCTCATTTCGCCTGAAAAATATTAAAAATTTACCCACCCATGCCCTCCCATTACTTTAAAATTTAATTTAACTCACCCGCCCAATTTTTAAAATATTTTATTTTAAAAACCCGACTACGCCCGCCAGAAATATGGTTGGGCAAAGGCGGGGAGGGGAAATCGGCTCATTGCAAATCTTTAGCCCAAACACTATTCATAAATTTATTTTAAATAATTTAGACTATAATTTATAATGTTACAATGGAAATTGAAAATGGGAGTGGTAAAATATTATTGGCAAAAATATTTAAATTTGTAAAAAAAATGAAATTTGAAAATTATATTGTTTTGTATCTAATTAGATAGGAAAGTGAAATATTTTCTATGCTATAGGGAAATAATTACTTTATAAACGAAATCAACATAATGGTTATATTTTAAAAGAAATCATCATAAAATAAATATAAAAACGAATTCTGAACGATCCGATTAGTAAAATTACAAACTCTAATTTAGGCTGATTTGGGTATATAATTATCTCAACTTACCTATTAAATATTAAACGTATTAAAATTGTTAAATTAAAATTGTTTAATTATATTATTTCGGATTTTAATCAATCTCATTCAAACTAGCTTACATTGTGTTGTATAATATGAGTTTGATTATATAATGCTTATAAAAATAAATAGAATAGGTTAATTATATATCGATCCCTTATATGAATTGTATTACAAGTATCAAATCTACCCAACCCAGTGAGATTTTGCTATAATGGCAGTGGTGTAGCTAAGAATTTTCCTTAGGGGGGGGGGGGGAGGGGAAGAATTTGATAGGAAAATGTAAAAAATTTATAAGTTTTTAAAATATCGATATAATTCAAAATTTTTAGAAATGATTTTTATAAAAAAAAATGAAAACTGCAAATTATTTTTAAAAAATATCGAATATAGCCAAAAAAAAACAATAAATAAACCTGAATTCATTAAAATTTAAGGAAACTCCCACCTAATAGTGCCCCCCCCCTAGCAAAATCCCAAATATGCATATGATATAAAATATTACTTTTAAGTAATCCGATGCTATTATTGAGATTTGTTTCATATTGTTATTTGCAACCAATAAAAATTTGCTTGTAGAATTCATATTAAGGTTACCCAACTGAAACTCAACCTATATACAACATTTCATTTATGGTAGGGGGAGGGGGTGGAGGAAAAATTTGTCTTAGTATGATTTAGTGTTAAAATGATATGCAACAATATTGAAATCTTAATCAAAAATATATTAATATATTATTTATTTCAAAGTGAGTTTATAACTGGAATCGAAATAAGAATTGAAACACTTGAAACCGGGAAAAATCTTATATCGGCTATAACTCCTCCTAAAATTTATAAATCATTTCAGGAACAATTAATTTATGTGTATAACGGCAATGTGTTAATATATAAACTTTAAATCATTTTTTGAGGCGTTTTTAGAATTTAAAATCTGATCTTACATTAAATGTATTCTAACATGTTTAGAATGCCTACCCTATAATTTTTAAACA